ATTATTGGCACAAGAATCTTAAAGCCCTGTTTTGAAAAATTACCAGTTTTTATTTTGTGCCACTATTGCATACAGACGACGATATTAGATCATCCTCTTCATTAGGCAATATTATTATATGGCGAATGAACTGGGTATAAGACAAGGGGCTCGCCAACTAATTTTTTTGAGTTCGCCAACACTGAATACCGTTAATGTTAAGATCAACATCATAGTATTAATATATACTTTTTTTTTTATTTTGTTCTTCTTTTAGTTGTTATTAAATACATTTTCTCATTCAAGTAACTTGTAGTATTCTTTATTGAACGTTTATTTCAGTTAATAGGAATGACAAAAAATGCCAGTTTTGTCTTTGCCATAATTAGTCTTAAAAGAGAACATGTTGATGTACAATAGTGGCACAAGACAAAATTTGGGTTGAATTAAAAACTCTAAGTTACAATTCATTGAAAGCTACCTATACTATCTAACGCTCTCCCAAATACACCCAAAATGTATTATTTTTTTAATCCTAATCCATGTAGTAAAAGAAAGAAGACACAATTATTGACACACAAACTTTAAACCCCTGTTTCAAAAAATTACCAGTCTTGTTTTGTGCCATTATTGCATACAGCCGACGATATTAGATCTTCCTCTTGATTAGGCAATATTATTATATGGTGAATGAACTAGGTATAAGACAAAAGTTTCGCCAACTAATTTTTTTGAAAACACTGAGTACCGTAAATGATAAGATATTTTAATTAAAAAATTACAGAAGATGCCTTATATATATACCTGTACATTACGTGTTATATAAAAAAAATTACAATACGTTAACGATTTGTATGACAAATTTCGCGTGTATATTAGGTGCATTATGCAGTACGTTAACGAGTAGTAAAATGTACAAAAATCGAGTATATGCATTTTTTATGTTTCTAAATAAAAAAATCAATCATCAAATCTCGTCCAGATTTGTGATAAGGCAGCAACACACAACTATTATTTTTGTAAATATTTCACCCTTCTTTGGAGGCGTATGTTTCGATCGGTTGGCGATATTGATTTTTTTTATTAGCTTAGTTGTCATTCCAGTTCTTACAAAGGACATGATGTTTGTATGGCATGATATCCCGGCAAACTTCCCTCATGCAATACTAAAAGTGTTATCGATTAACTAAAAAGAAGGACCACTACAAATGGTCAAGCTACGTAATGGTTAGTTTGATAAAAGTAGGTCATTGGAAGAGTATCACGAAGCGGTTTTGTTATTTTATTTTTGCATTATGATGAGAAATCAATCAAATATTAAATAATTAATGAAAAAAGTAAGAAGGTTCTAGAACATTTCCGTGAAATATGCTTGTAATCCGAAAACAAAAGTACACACATCAACAAAATCTAAAGAACACCACTATTATTTCACTGTTTTTAATAAACACTTAAACACTTCTTTATTAATAGGTACCATTCGATTTAAGAACTGACTTTCTACTTATCAAGGTATGCCATGAAAATTGTTCTCTCGATTATTATACTGTTTCAAATTGGTACGATTAATTGCTCCAAAGTGTACAGAATAAGTGCTTCATATTTTAGAGATAGTTAATAATATTTACTTTAAAATTTTACTAAACCAATATTATTAAACGATATTATTAAATATTATTAAACGAACAACATGTTCAAACGATAAATAATGCTGTGAATATGATTGAGGCTCGTCTTTCAAAAGCTGATATTGCACGTCAATTTGACCTCGCGATTGTGACGTCGATATGAAGAATGTGGTAATGTCACTGAAAGGCATGGAGGTCATCAACGTGCAACTTCTTCTCCATAGGATCGGTATGTGGTAGGATTTGCTCGTCGAAATGTTTATATAATTGAATGTGGGGCTTTAGAAAATATCCACAATATTACTGTACGTGATCAAACCTTAAGGAATAGATAACAAAAAGCTGTCCTGCATGCCAGACGTCCAATGAGGGGTGCCATGTGTATAACGACATAATGTGCATTGGGGCTAAGAAGATTGAAATTCTGTCTTATTCACACATGCAGCTAGGTTTTGTTTCTATCTTGATTCAAGAAGAGTTAGAGTTAGAAGAGCACTTGGTTACCAAAAGAGACTTAGGCATGTACAAGGGTGTTTGTTCATATAGTAGTCTACGAGTTATGATGTGGACTCGAATAATTTTTCTTCATCGAACTGTTCCTGTTTTTGTGAAAGTTACTTTTAATCAATATCAATATACTGATTGTCCAATATCAAATCTTCAGAATTCATATCCGAAATTGGACAGTATAATTTTATCACCCAGTAGACCGAATGAATTTATTTGTTATTAAATACACACACGTAGTTAATTAGGTTACATTAGATTTGGTCAATTATCAACAATAAAATTTGGACATCAGTCGAAAGTACTGACGAAAGGTAAACAATTTACACACAACTTAGATACACATGTCATTAGGTCCGCGAATATATTGACCCAATTAAAACTTATATAAAACTAAAATCTCTTGCCTAGAGAAGCATTCAATCAACATTCACTCAATAAACGTGATAGTGTTCAACGCTCAACTGCAACAGTCTCTACTCAAAGTAATCCCGGGTCAACACCCATAGTGTACGTCTCGTCAATAAACTCTGCTACTATTATTTTGTGTTTCCATTACAACTGAACTAACATCTTCACTGAGCCAACGAAGGGGAATTTGTTCACTGATCGTATCTTAGAACCTGTTGTCCTTACATTTGCCACTGCTGCAGATCCTGATTTGCGTTACATACATGATGATGCGAGTTGAAGGAACAGTTATAGATTGGCTCCCTATCTGCAAAATGTTCATACTAGACAAGGCCTTTAAGATATATTTACACAGGAATGGATCCTATTCCTTAAAACGATATGTGGACAATCCGTTGTGGATTTTGTCCTGCTCACAAAGAACTTCCCTATATCTTCTGACCCTTACAATCTGTACACTGTCTTCTTTCACATCGTCAATATATCTCCTTCGTGATTGTCCTCTACTTCTTGTGTCCTCTGTTTTGGAAATGTTAATCTCTTCGTGTATTTGTGTCTGACATCCTAGCAAAGTATTCAGCCCATCTATGTCTCTGCATTTTAACGAATTTTACAATATCTGTTCAATATAGTTCAAAATTCTAACTTCAACGCCATAACCCATTTTCATTTACGACCCCAAAAATCTTTCTAAGAATTTTTTTCTTAAAAATACCAAGAGGTCTTTCATTATTCTGAGATAAGGTCCAAGTTTTAGCCCCATATATTACCAACCCGTCTTATTAAGGTCTTGTATATATTGAGCTTTACTGCATGTTCTATATTTTTATTTTTTAATGTTTCTAGAGACCATAAACAGTTCTGTTCGCTATTGTTATGCGTCTTTTTATTTCGTCGCTTGTCGTGTTGGTTGCGTTTACTAGCGATCTAAGATATGTGAATTCTTTGACTTGCTTAACGGTATGGTCCTAATTTACTTGCGGAGTCCACAAGCCTTGTAAAACACTGCACCATGTCTCTCATACTTCTGCCCACTATTACTATATCGTCAGCGAATGCGAGGATTTGCGTCGATCTATTAAAAATAGTTCCATTCATTCTAATATTTACTTGTCTGATTGCCTTTTCCAAGGCAATGATAAAGAGGAGATACGCTAGCGCATCCCCTGTCTTAGACCATTATTATTGATTACCATTCCTAGAAACCATTCCACTTTCAGACTTAAACTACAAAAAAGAATTTAATATACTTAGGCAAATAGCAGTCAACAATGGATATTATCACATCATCAACAAACTCATCCGCAAAAAACGCCTTAAGATCCTGCAGTTCCCCAGAGACAACACCACCAAGCCCAATTACGTTTCACTTCAATACTATCATGAAAGTCTTTCTGGAGATATTCTGGAGAGAGAGATATGGACGAAATCTCATCCAACGTTCGGTTGAAAACATCCATGTTTTATTTAAAGTATCCAACAATTTGGGTCAAAACATTTCTAATTCCAAAGATCCCATCAATTATATGGATCGGAGTGGAGTGTATAGACTAAAATGTTTAGTCTATATATACAATTTCCTTCCATACAGTCCAAGTAGACACACCGTCTCAGACTAGCAACTTCAACGTGGAGTCATATGTCGCCATGTTACCTTATCCAACGGTAACTTTAACATCTTAACATATTATAAGAAATATTGTAAACCAAATGTAACTAATTATTTGTTAACGGGTTTTTACCCATATATTTAGTGGCTACATTCATGTACTCCTAGTAAGTATTAACCACACTTTGCATTAACCTTAGTCAAAAATGTTTATGTTCTTTTTAATTAAGTGGTTATATATTTTCTAGGACACTGATGATGGAATATGGATTCCGAAAACGTTTTGTATAATTAGCCCGTTGGGGTTTTTAAATATATACCATTTGTAAAGGTTTTTTAATAAAATTTTTTTTAGAGTAAAGACTTGCGATTTATAAACCTAGTATAAATCTCAATCCCTCCTCCACCCGTATATACAGTCTTAAATTGGTATTCTTCTTTGATAGAGCTGTTCCAATTAGCATGACTAGATTATTGAAGCTAGTTATGCTCATCCGATAAAAGGTGAAAAACTTTTTTAAGTAATCAATTTAGAATGCATTGTGCAGAATTTTTTACTAAATAAATCTACCCCTACGTTGTAGTTGTATGAGAACCATAATAACATTTCTGGATAATCTTGTGCGACCGCTGACTTTAACAGTTAAATACGAACTTTAGTACTAAATCGTTCGATAATAGTCGGTCGGCTGTTGCTAGTGTGCTCCCTCTTAACGAACCTGACTGCTTAGTTGGCCCCGTGTACGTACGGGTTTCTTTAATCTAAGGTACTAACAGCCCAACCCGACTAAACTATCGACCGATAAAAAGTCTGCAGTCTGCAGGGATAATGATCGAAAATGAAAATTGTAGTAAATGGTACTTACCTTACTGTGCCTTAGTATAAGGCAGAACTTATAAGATTTGTTTGTGATTAGATTAGGTACTTGTAGACCATAACACTGTAAAAAGAAGATATTTGTTACTAAAATTTAAAAATAATAAATATAAGTAAAATACAGCCAAAATTTTTATTTAGTTCATCATAAATTTAATGTTTTGATCAGAGGTATTTCTTTTAAATAACTCTTTTTTTATACTAATCTGATATCTTACGAAAACAATATATTTTTTTGGTTTAGTCTTCATTTTTAAAATATATTCATCAATACGAGGAATGTTTGATTTAAAGGCTTAAAATTGTTAGTTATACTAGTGTGATTTTTTGGATTTAACATGAATAGTTATAATTTCAGATCGAAGGTTGCCTTAAAACTTTAAAAATTGAACTGTGTGAAATAGAACAATAAGCAGGATTTCGGGCTAGTAGATCATCTTTGGGGTGTAGAGTTGTGTTATAGAGGTAGCACCTTTTATCGGAACGACCACATCGAGCGTCATAGACAAGAGATGGTTCTTGATAACTGGTCCTCATAAGACAGCTAACTCTCACTTATGGCTCCACGTGCCACTCCCTGGGCTACTGCATTGGTTTGCAGGCTAAACTAAGTGAGGGTAGTCAGATATGGCGACAATTCCACCGAGCGATTGCCGGTATAGGCAATCCCACACTTACTGACCAACGGCTTCGGGCGGATGAGTTAGTAAGTGGAAGGGGACTCTTTTGTCCTGATGCTAAGAAATTGGCACCAAAGGCGAATGAATCAAGTAAATGGCCAACGGCATAAGGATATAGAAGGCAAGGAGAAACCACTGCATTAAAGATCCAATTGAATATCTCTAGTACAATTATCATGGCAATGAGTACTAAAGGCAAAAATTAACTGATCATGGAAATCGGAGCCCAGGATCCGGCAGGGGAGGAACATACAAGGACTCCAAGATCCTTGTATGTTCCCCGGGTATTAAAAGAACCGACACGAAAGAAAGACAATTGGATGACCGACGAGATACTCGGCATGATGGAACAATGAAGACAAGCCAAGAACAAAGACAGTCACAATTACAAAATCATTAACAATGAAATCAGAAAAAAGATTAGAGAGACAAAACAAACTTACTATGAGGAAAAATGTAAAGAGATAGAGGATCTTCAGAACAAATACGGCCTATTCAACATACATAAAAAGGTTAAAGAAATGGAAAAATGGAAATACTATGATAATTACTGATGAAAAACTAAAACGATGGGAAGAGTATATGGAAGAGCTCTTTGACGTCAAAAGAGGAAACCTAGAAGACTTGTCTTTTGAGGACAGAGAAACAAGTGTAGGAATTACAAAGGAAGAAATACTGTATGCACTAAAGAACACCAGAAACGGAAAAAGCCCGGGCCAGATCAACTGCCTATTGATATCTTTAAAATAATAGAAAATGAATACATTAATTATCCTCTTAAAGCTTTTTAATGAAATTTATCAATCGGGTGACATACCCAACGAATGGTTGACCTCAACATTCATTTGGCTCCCAAAAAAGAAAAATGCTAGAGAATGCACCGACCACCGTACCATAAGCCTGATGTCTCACACACTTAAATTGTTTTTAAAGATCATTCATCCTTAAAGCAAAACAACTACAAGACAATGACCTTCGAATTATAACAGATCTATATTATAAACAGCAGGCACACGTACGCATTAATGAACACACATCAGAAGAGTTCGAAGTTAAAAGAGGAGTGCGACAGGGGTGTGTATTTTCACCACTACTATTTAATGCATACTCTGAAGAAACTGAATGAAAATAGCTCTTGAGGGAGAAACAGCAGGAATCAAGGTCAATGGAACACAAATTAACAACATTAGATATGCAGACGATACTATCATAATAGCAGACAACCTCCAAGACCTCCAAAAGCTGATGAACAAGATAGTTGAGTATGGAGAAGAATATGGATTATCAATAAACACCAAGAAAACCAAATTTATGAGGATATCAAAAACCCAAAATAATGGTGAAAGCCTGACAAGTAACGGTAGTGTTTTAGAACAAGTTGAAAACTACCACTATCTTGGCACCATAATTAATCACACAAACGACTACTCCAAAGAAATCAAAGTTCGAATAGAGAAGGCACGTACAAACTTCAATAAAACGAGAAAGGTACTTTGTGCAAGAGAACTAAAATTGGACTTGAGAATTAGGCTGGCAAGGTGTTATACTTTCTCGACTCTGCTTTATGAGATGGAACCATGGACACTTAACGCGTCGACTGCTAAAAAGTTGGAAGCATTTGAAATGTGGGTGTAAAGAAGAATTCTGAAGATATCATGGACCGAGCATGTAACAAACAACGAAGTCATGAGAAGAATCAACAAAAGAATGGAAGTATTGGAAACCATCAAGACACAAAAGCTGCAATACCTAGTACATGTTATGCGTAATGAGAGATACAACCTACTTCAATTGATTATACAAGGGACAATTGAACTATTTAGAGCAGCAGCATCTAAGTTCAGAATGGCCATGATGATTGCCAACCTCCGTCGTGGAGATGGCACGTGAAGAAGAAGATCATCTCCCGATCACATTTTTACTATAACCCAACTTATCAAAATACCCTGAAAATAATTATCAATGAACCAAAAAGTCCATCTCTTATTTGTTTACCTAACAAAAGTATACTTAACCGAAAAAGCTAAATATTTGAAACGGGAAGGAAGCCGCTGGATTTGGTCTAAATATAAATAATAGAAAAACAAAATATATGGAGTGCACAAAGTCGGATCGACATGAGAATCTGAAGGTAGACAACCATACCCACGAATATGCCTTCACCTTTACCTAACGAGGCTCATTAATAAATAACAGCAACATTGTTAGTCAAGAAATAATACAAGCACAGATTCTTAGACGTAATAAGTGATTTTATGCATACAAAGACTTACTGAAAAGTAAGTTACTGAATCGTGAGTCTAAGCTTAGAATCTATAAACCAGTGATTAGACCCGTGATGAATGTGAAACGTGGACCGTTTCAACCACTGATGGAAATGAATTGGGGATATTTGAGTGCAAAATATTAAGAAATATATTTGGGCCAATTCATTGTAGCGATGGTTTGTGAAGAATAAAAATGAACTATGAGCTAGATATACAATGGACCCGTCTAAGTATCTGAAGGGCTCATAAATGGGTCCTGCACCGATCTACCATAACAATAACGCTGAGCCAGGTGACTTAATGCAGAACGCAGATATCTTTAGATTTGTAAAGTTAAAAAGACTAAACTGGCTTAAAATATATTTAGACAATATAATCCAGAGATGGAAACTCAAGCTAAATAGGACAAGTCTTTTTTACTAGTATTTCTTTGTTTTTTAATTCGTCGTGATAATAACTTATACTGACTATTTTATCCCAGGTTATTGCTTTCGTTAAATTTATCTGCGATTTTAACCTAATTGAACAGTTTTTATTCTGTAAAGACATCCCTGAAAATACAACAGGAATAGACATTTTTCAATTAGGGAACAGATATTTTATCACCGCTGCGCTGGTTTGTCTTGGCTACCTTGTTTAAGTGTTTGCACAGACGGTTACCCTACAATGGTAGAAGACTTAACAAGGTTTGTGCCTTTAGTCCAAACAGAAAATCTAGATATTACTTTCACACATTGTTTTTTACATAAAGAAGCACTTTTTGCTAAGTCATTGACGTGTGATCTGAAAAGGAAATAGAAGAAAACATACTAAGAGTGAAAAAGGTTATGGAATGTGCTGTGGTCCAAAAATATAACGACTTCTGGATAGACTACCAGTAAAATCAAGATTGCAAAAAATACTTAACGGCCAAATAAAAATATGATAGTCTCAACAACTATTACTAAAGAAATTTAATGCAGAAAACTTATTTGGTATGATCATGTCCAAAGAATGGATAATAGATGTCTTTCTAAGCAAATAATGAAATCGTTACCAGTTGAAAGAAGGAAAAGGGGAAGACGAAAACAGACATAATTAGGAGGCGTTTAAAAATCAATGTCAGAGAGCAATTTTCATGCTGGAGATTGGAACAGCAGGCGAGAATAGAAACTAAGGTGTAAGACGTTCTGAAAACCGGATGAAAAAAAAATTATCAATGAAAAAATTAAGAATTTGCACTTGTGTCATTAAGAACTAAATGTATAATAATAAAAAACAAAGCTAACAAACTAAGGATACTACATCACCAATACGACAGCGATTGCTTCTAATAAATTAGGTCTCGTGTTATGTAGCGTTAATTATTTGTTATTGCCTGGAGAATTTTGGGGTCAAGATCGTTTCACTCTAATAGTTATTACACTGACTTAATAATATCAGAATACTTTGGTTTACGTATGTATGTTAGGAATTTGCCAAATTGTGATTATTTTAAAGTAAAATTACATGTTTTTATTGCGTACAGCAATACGATTTACGGATCATCTTCATGGATTAGAACTATATTTATTTAAAATCCAATAATAAAACTTTTTATTTCCTAATTTCTTATTATTATTGAAGCGCAGCTTCTGTACTTGTTAGTGTACTTGTATATTACTTTTTTTTCTCTAGAGTAAAATTCAGAGACGAGCATCACAGAACTATCGCCACAAGATGGCGTCGCAACGGGTAGCCTCATAGAATAGAGGTTCTTGACATCGATTTTCTGCTCTCGATTAATTTTACTCTCCCGTTTCTTTTCCACGTGCCGGTCTCAGCTTTTGTGGAGGAAGAGTTCTGAACTAAGTAGGGATTCTTCAACGCTTCGCAAAAGACAGACTGGGTGGGGAAGTCCTCATCCCCGACACGGCGCGTCCCATATGGCTGATCGGGGACGTCCTGTATATATTATACAGGATAGGTGCGAATAAGGTTCGCCAAATAAGCACCCGCGGATCAACTGAGGACATGGTATAGGGCAGCAGCTATGTCATTACTAACTCCAAGGCTGGGGAAGAATGACTTCTTAACAGGTTTGGAAGCAGATAATTATGGGCGACAATCAGATATTGGTTTAATCGGTTATAATACTG